CCCCCAAAACCCCAAAACCCCAAAACCCCATGCAAAAATATCCAGATTGAATCCTATTTATTACCTCTCTTCTTTAGCCGAATAATTCTTAACCTGGTTGATTGATCCATGGAGGTGAGATTCTTCTCTTCAGTGAATTTCTCTGATTTTGGGTTCATCATAGACTTAAACACTGAGTTCAAATTATTATCTTTTTGCCTTTTCCTCTAGAAACAAGGTTACACTAGGTTGTGGAAACAGTCTTACTTGGTAAAGGAGCTTGAGGCCTCTCTTTTTATTAGAAAATGTGTTATCCTCTAGAGAAGCCTTACACTTTTTGAAAATTTTTGACTTTTTAGATAGGTCTTGCTCTGAATTAAGAAGTAACAGCTTACTTTCTTTATCCCGATTTTCTTTTAATATAATAACATTTTTACTAATAAAGTCGAGGGTTGAGGTTCCGTGAGTTAAAGAAATGAAATTCTGCTTTGGAGCATCAAGTTTGGGCTCATCTTCATCACTACTACTAATATCATTATCTAGTCTTGTATCGACTTCTCGTTTGACTCTTTTGAGCCTACCTATTAAGGTATCTTCTTCATCTAATATTTTCATATTTCTCATATTATTTAGATTTTGTTTTTAATTGTTTTATCTAAAAAGTTAGTCAAAAGTTACTCCTGAAAGAACCTTAATTCTTCGATTTTTTAAAGCATAGACTGTAGCTATTGAGCGTGGAATTGCCTCATACGAATGCATGATACTCCTTGACCTGGATTTCCTAAGCACAAATTAAGAGACTGACACAAAAGATGACTTACAGATCATTTTTACTTGAAAGCTTATGTGATAAGCTGCTTCCAAGTTGATATTTTATTGATTTTTTTTTATCCAAAACATTCAGCTTTGGTACTAAACATCACCCAATAAATCTACCATCACCAAGTACTGGTAAGTTCATACTCTCTACAGCACGTTTCTTTTGGGCAATGGGTGCCTTCCTCATATGGAGTACTGTCTTTGTGGCATCTTTAAATACACCGTCTTTTGTGATATCACTAAGTTTCTGGGAAATTTGTTTCCCCAAATTCTAAACTAGTAACAATAATAACTTACATCATCATTAAGATGATTCCTAGAGGCATGGTGATCCATTGTGAGGAGATGCTCAATTTTAGCATCAAATTTGCCTTCTTGAGGCCTTCCTGCCTGCTTCATCGCTGACTGAGTTTCCTTAAGCTTTAGCGAGAGATCGGTTTTAGGGTTGGAATCAAAGCTTCTACGAAACTCACGAGACCACTTTGGAGTATAATATCTAAACCTAAGACTGATAGTTTACAGATTATCGAAGTTATGAGACCCCATCAGGGCCTTCTTGAGATAATTCTTTTTCTTTGGAATATCTTTTGAATCAGATTTCGGAGCTTCTTTCAGAATTTTCTATTAGACATTAATAAATTACTTACTAGTCTAGTACCGATTGGAATTCGTTTCATACCTTCAAAGAATTAGATACCCTTAACTTATTTCAAGAAGATGGCATAATACAACTGTGTAATAACTATTTAGCTAACTTGGGCTAATATACACCAATCCTTACCATTTCTACCCCCATTATTTCTCATTAAGTTCTATATTTACGATCACCAAAATACAAAGACGATACCCAACATATGAAGCCCTAGCCAAATGGCGAAGCAGAAGAGGTCTTACTTTTGTAAAATCTTGACAAGAACGTATGCTTCACGCTATCTCTTTTAATAGCGCTGCTTTTCTGGATTTTTTGTGCTATAATATGGTTTACTCCTTGTTCTGAGTTTGTATAGAAATTTTTTGCGAAAGGTCAATATGGGACAACCCCTTTTCTGCTCTTCTAAGCCACTCGAAAATCAACTAAAATCTATTACTCATAGCCATTTGAGGTGTGAGGAAATTCTGGTTTGAATTAAAAGAAGTCTGTCTGCTTGAATCGTTTGAGTCATGATGTTCCATTAATAAGTCTATATTTTTATCAGGATGGTTTACTTTTTATATTCAATATTATATTAAAAAATAGGGGTTTTGGGGTTTTGGGGTTTTGGGGAG